CCAGAACATGCCCACCCTGCTGGATCATGTCGCAGCAAAGTTACATGCGCACATACCATGGACCAACTGTAGCTTTTGAATGATTTTATTTATTACTTTATTCATCTGTATCCTGTTTTTATTACTTTTATAAATAACACAAGGTGGTGAACATACTAATGCCCTTTCTTCCTATTTTCCCCACAACAAGATTGTGAGGTGGATTGGGCTGAGAGGCAGTGACTGTCCAAAAGCCAATCAGCTGGTTTTCATGCCTAAGGCAGGACTAGAACTCATGATCTGCTGGTTTTTAGCCTGGTGCTTTAACCACTAGACCCTTTCAAGGGCAGCCTGTAGTAGCAGTGCAGAAGGTCATTGTTATTTTGAGGAATTTAGTGACGTATTTTGATTTCTCCTTCATATTAAGAAAAGTCTAGAAGTTTAGAACTCATCCAGAGATGACCTGCTTGGTATGCACTCTTGTTTAATGAATAAAGGAAAAGGTAGGTGGCGAAGCTTCACATAGTTTCAAACTTTTACTCGCTGTGAAAGTTCCAGACTTTCAACTCCCATGCCAAAGTCATTTGCCAGCCAATCAAGGCCAGGAGTTGCAGTCTTATAGCATGGCCATGAAGTCATGGTGCCAAGTTTTAATAAAAACCTTGGGATTGCTATTGCTTGTTGGGAGATTCTGCATGGAACCTAGCACTGAGTATTGTGGAAACTGGCTACCCTTGGAATATCTCTGCTGTTGTTAAGAAATTTGGGTATTATCTTGCTTGGTATGTATGCTTTTTATGTTATGCTTTTAACTCTGCTCAAGCTAATAATAAAGCTTAAAATCCCTTTATTTATTGGTGTTTTTTTTTACTGCTCATTGCCTCTGGATCCAAAAGAACCAATTGCCTGGGCACCTGATCATTACCCCGACACTTGGCAAAACATAATTGCCGACAAAGGTATGGTCCAATGACATTGCCCTTCTGAAAAAAAAAAAATTTGCTAAGCAAGGTGATAGTGGCCAGAATTATATTCCTGGTTCCCCCAGCACAAAAGTCTGGGCCAGTGGCTCAAATATTAAACTGCCCCACCTGTGTCATGGCAGCATGAGTTGGCTCATTGCCAAATGTGGTGTTTTCATTCATTTATTGGAAGTGGGAGAGAAGAAGGGACAGAAGTAATTGGGTGGATTAGGATGGCTCTTTCGCATTGCCACTACATAGGTATTGAAAGGAGGATTCTTGACGCTTGTAAAAGTATTGCTCTCATTACTGAATACTGAATCCAATCTATTTCCAATTTAGTGCTTTTCAAAATATAAAGTTTTGTATTTGGTGGCTTTGAATTTATCCTGATTCTTGGACAAGTCTCTTCAGATTTATTGACTAGATTTTTGGAAGGGCCTTGTCCTTGCCTTCCTAGGGCTGAGACAATGGCTGGCCCAAGGTCACTCAGTTAGCCCTGTGCTAGAATTCTCAGTCTCCTGGTTTCATGCCTGGTGCTTTAAACCACTTCATTAAACCGGTTCTCAAAGATAATTTATCCTAAGCAAAATTATATTCAGTGCCTCTCATTTCAGATATTAACATGGCACATCAAAGAGGACTTTTCAATTGCCCTATTATTCAGGGCACAATATTATTCTGTTTCTGGTCTTCAAGTACCTTCCTTGAGCTATTTTTATCTTCCCCAGGATAAAAGCTACACACTTTCTTGTCTATTCACTTTCACACATAGTATCATGGATAGATGTTAAATGAGAGTATACTGTATTTTACTAAAATAATCTCCATTAGCATATTTCTCATACAAAAACACAGATCAAGCAAAACAAAAGTAAGATCATTATCTACAAGTATTACAGGCTTGGAGGTTGTATTGCACAACTTGTGAAAAAGCAGCTAGGAGAAAAGACTTATTGCCTTACCACTAACAGGAAATATTGTAAAAGGGTGAAGTGACCGTTGGCGTATTCCCAATGCTGATCAGGTTGCTAATTTTGACCTCTGAAGTGTGAGCAAAATATTAGAGAATCAATTTTCTGATCTGCAATGAAGCTTGGATTTCAAGCCTCTCACTTTTGCCAGGATACAAGTGTGGAAAAGAGTTTGATACTGTCTTATCAACTACCTGAGGAGTTTGTAGTTCTTATTTGAAGCTAGTTAAGATTAATCAGAAACTCTGAATTGGAAGATTTGCTCTGTTCTAGCCTGCCCCAGTATGGTACCTTCAAAGTGAAGGAGGGGAGCAGTTTCCAAAATTTTCCTGACTGAGCTTTATGAGAGTTGAAATCTATTTGAGAGCAGAATGGGAAGATTGCATTTTACCTTATCTTGGTTTCTTTCAGTGTGGGAGAAATCAAAAGCCTAGTCAATGCAAACTAGCTATTAAAACTGTAGAAAGAGATTGGTCTGCAGTTTCTTCAGCTAGATATTAACAAAGCAGACATGAGCTTGCACATCTCACTTAAACATTCTCACTACTTCCACCTTAAAAATTTAGTCCTTGGACTGATCTTCTGAGGAGTTTCTTCATCGGCCAGGATGTTCTCAGTCAGCTGTGGAGAAATTTGTTTTGTCTCCCTCTGTGTTTGCTTAGGAACCGCATATCAATAGTGGGCATTGCCAAAGCCAATCTGTTTTATTCTTTTTATGATTTGAGGGCCACTTCTCATAATCAATCTCCTTAAGTTATTTATAGCAGCTACAAAACACGAAAAGCATCACGTAAAAAGACAAATATTAGGGACAGGTGCACCTCAATGCATTTCAAACATGGTCTTCCACAGTGAAGGTGGCCTACTCAAAATATAAACTATTGCCTGGGTTTTCATCTTCTATTGGCTTAAGCTCTCTTCTTTTTCCAGCTAGCTTGGGTCCTTTAATTATGATCGACAGCTTTCAATCTTCCAGGTACCAGGGTGATACATGCCAAACTACTGCTTTATAGCCAGCTATCACTATGATGGACTATGAACACACACTAGTGGATCTCAGCAGGCCATTGATTTAGAGCTGCAAATGGACTTTCCTGTGCTACCCAGAAGCACCTTTTTGAGCCAATCTGCACAATTTTTCCAACTAGCTAGATATCTTAGTTGCATAATAATCCCAAAATTTAGAAGGGCTTTATCCTTGGCCAGATTCATTGCCCTCCCAACAGCCATTACTAAAAGGAGATCTCCTTTGAACAGGTGGAGGAATAACTGAAATGATGGGATATATTATTCTGTAATGTCCCTCTAGGCAGGAGCTCATCATTCTTTATCCTGGTCTTTCTGACTTGTTTTATCTTAACTTGTTATCAGATCAATCTGATTTTGTTTCCTTGACCACAGGTAAGTCCTGTTCAATAGTTTGTACAGCAATCCTCTTTAGATATTTTAGAACAATTATGTGTTTCCCTCTTTGTCTAATTTGGGACAGATAGTGGGTTGGGGAAGCTCAATGCAAAAGGTATATTTTTGAAGATACTTAACACATACCTACTGTAAGACCTGGGTTGTTGCAAAGGGAAGATGGTTGGTCCACACAGGACATGCCGACCACAAAGAAAACTTTCCTAGTTGTCATAAAATGACATTTTGCAAGCCACAGGCCAAAGAAATAAACTATTTCCTAAGATCTCACAGATGTTGATAAAGCTGATCTGATAGTAGTAGTTCTTTAAGGCAACCTGATTCCTAATCATCTAGAGAAGGGGTCAGCTCCGGTAATGCAAAAAAAGTCACAATACGTCGCAACACGTCACATGATGTGGCGAGTTTGACACCCATGTTCTAGAGCAGTGGTGGCGAACCTATGGCATGCGTGCCAGAGGCGGCACTCAGAGCCCTCTCTGTGGGCACGCGCACCATGCCCCGGAGATGGCAACCATCCCTCTTCAACCAGCCGCCCACTAACTTGCCGAGGTCCCACATGGCTGGATGCATCCCAGCACCCATGCGCTTGCTGGCCTCTGTGTGCAGGGACCGATGCTGTCAGGCAGCAGCCGCCCCGGCCCTGCCTCACCTTGCCCTGTGACAATGGCACCCCTGCCCTGCCTCGCCTCTCCCCGCAGGATGAGCCTCCTGCCCACCACCCTACCTGCCAGAGACCCCCTGGATCTCCCCCAACCCTGCCCGGCCCCCACAGGCATCCCTCCCCACGAGCAACATTGAGGTGATCACGCCCACCTTGGCCACACCCACCCAATCTGCCATGACCACCACAGCCATGCCCATCCAGTGGGCCACGCCCACCTGGCACTCAGTGATAAATAAGTGGGTTTTGGGTTGCAGTTTGGGCACTCGGTCTCTAAAAGGTTCGCCATCACAGTTCTAGAGTGATGCTTTCTTTTCCTCTTTTGGCACCTATTTTAATCCTCCTATTTGTGACACCCTTTCTCTCCTCCTCACTAGCAGGTTTTTAGGAAAAGAGCAAGCAATCCTTCTCACAAATCTGAACAAGAGAAACTGAGGCCAGAAACTGCATACTTCCTACTCTGTGTTAAACAAAGCATTTCTATTATGAAGCTGGATTCTCAGATTAAAATATAGCTTGTACAATGAATGTGTCAGAAAACTTGATTAAATCAATCGATTGACTGATTATATTTCTATTCTGGTTTTCCACAAAGAACAGTTATGAGTGTCTCCATCCATCCCTTCACCATTGTGAGAGGGTGACAATTTGAGGAAATAATGACTATCTTGAAGTGAAAACAGTGATTCATGAATAGTATGACTTCAAATCTGTTCAGCTGTCCATAGCACAACTCATTAGTTTTTCTGAGGGAAAACAAGTCCCCAATTCTAATCTGACTTTTTAACTGCTACAGTTACAAGGTTCTCTATAGCTAGTGGTTTAATTAATTTTTTTTAAATTTTCTTTTTATTATATGCTATTGAGTTAGAAGTTATCTGTAAATGATGGGCAGACAGATTTTATTTAAACCATCATCCTCTTTTTCTTTGTCAGGGGATGCATTTATGAACAAAGCTTGAGGAATTCCAGAACAGATACCAGCTTATTTCATCCGCCATGATCCTGGAGAGAACTATCTGGATCTGCATCACCTTCTGTACTGCATCTGTTAGACCCCTGGCAGGGAATAGCTGGAAGCAGGCAGCTGCCAGTCCCATCATCCAGCATAAGCCATTTGTTGTGGTGTGGAATTTACCCACAACTAGATGTCAAGAGCATTTTGGGATCAGATTACCTTTGGACATCTATGGCATTGTGGAGAACAAAGGCAATGTGTTCCACGGACAGAATATGACTATTTTTTACAAAAACAAATTTGGACTGTATCCTTATATATCTCCACAAGGTGACTGGCATAACGGGGGTATCCCTCAGAAGGTTAATCTGAAGAGACATCTAGAGAAGGCCACTAAGGAAATCACAGAACTCTTGAACAATGACTTCCAAGGTCTGGCAGTAGTAGACTGGGAGGAGTGGCGACCTCTCTGGAGACGAAACTGGATGCCCAAAATGGTTTATAAGGAGGCCTCTAAACAATGGGTGAGGAAAAGATTTCCTGGACTCTCTCCTGAGGAGCAAACCTACTTGGCTAAGGCAGAGTTTGAAAAGGCTGCACGGTTGCTGATGGAGACTACTCTAGCTCTGGGAAAGAAGCTGAGGCCACATGGTTTCTGGGGCTTCTACAGGTTTCCCGATTGCTTTAATGACAAATGGGGGAAAGAGGTAAACTATACAGGCCATTGTAATCCCAAGGAGGTCCAATGGAATGATCAGCTCATGTGGTTGTGGAAGATCTCCTCAGCCCTCTATCCCAGTATCTACCTCCCACTGAAAGTACCAGCTTTGTACCGCCAGCATTATGTACATCACCGTCTCAGAGAGGCATCCCGTGTAGCACAGTTTGGCAAAGAGCATCCCCTTCCTGTGTTACCATACTCCAGAGTTTCCTACAAGCATTCTTCAAGGTATCTAACTGAGGTAAGCACTTTGGGGCACTCAGAAAAGGGGGTAATAATAGACCCAGAGATTGTAAATAATAGTTATATCTACTATTTGTCTGGAAAACATTTTTTGAGTTGTAGTCATTTCTGTTATACATCATTCCTTTGTTATATTTATCTCACTTTTTCTCCAAAGTAGTTCTGAATGGCATACATTGTTCCCCTATCCACACACTTCACTGTCAGCGCTGTACTGTATTCTTTCAATTACTCTTGGAGTAGATTAAATGTGGGAGAAACATCTTGCTTCATGGCCATTCAATAAACAATATTTGAGTCCGAGTCATCAATTGTATTAAAAATATTATGTTTAAAAATGGAACTGCAGTAAGTAAGGTCCATTCATGAATTTTTCAGATAAGAAGTTATTGTTTTAATAGAAAGAAAAAGCTACTAATTAACGGAAGATCTGTAGAGATAAATTACATCTTTTCTGAGCAGGCTAAACTGCTGAGTAATTAAGAGGAGTTTGCTCTTGTAGTTAGATTTTTATTATAGTGCTATTCAGTGTTGTAGATTTTCCTGAAAATTTTTAATTGGAATTGTTTTTTAAAAAAGAATTCTAAAAATTTCCATAGTTTGCACCAGAAAATGTTTAGTTTGCATTATAAAAAATCTCATATAACACTATACATAATGGGGAATTTTATATTCATAATAGGAGTTGGGAAAATTTTGCAGAAAATATTTTTCCATACTATTACTGTTATGCAAGGTATTAGTTTAATTTATTCTGGTGTTCCAAAAATAAGTACACAGAATTAAAGAAATTATTTTTTCTTGAATTATAGCTATTAAATCAGAGTCCCAAACCTTTTGGGCACCAGGCTGGAGAGTGTGTGGTTTTGTGTGCTGCCTGCATCCTACGGATGGGGCTTTGCTTGTTTGTGTGGTCCGGTTGCTGGCACGCTGCGGCCCGCTACTGGTCCATGGACCGGGGGTTGGGGACTCCTGTATTAAATGGTCAAACAAATCTGTCAGGCTCTTCAGGCATGAGAAAACATGCAAGATTTGTTTGACCAATGAATTTAATGGAATATCAGTGTCTCTCATGAATAATTAGGTTTCTGGCTAGGTATATCTCTTTTCCCAAGCTGGTGATCCTCCAGCTATTATGCCCAATTATGCTAGCTGAAGCCCAATTCATCTCATTAGTACTCTTCTTTTTCATAAGTACCGATTTGGGGAATCGGTATGGGAAAAGATCAGGCCATACTTCTAGGTCTCTGAAAATAGATCTTTGTGCTCCATTGAAACCAGCTTAATAGAGAGTTTATATCATTAAAATTATAACGTGAACATATACTGAGCTGCTCACCAGTAGAGCTTCTCTTTTTTCTTTTTTCTTTTTATTCAGGCTGACCTGATAAATACTATTGGAGAAAGTGCAGCACTTGGCTCTGCTGGGGTTGTGCTCTGGGGCGACCTATCCTATTCCAGCTCACTTGTGAGTATATGTGAAACATTTCTATGCTCCTTACTGTGAAAGTGAACCTTGGGCAAGAAACGGGCCCATATCACCACCTCTGCCCCAGTGGCATTCCTACAGCTATTGGGGAGATTCTATCCAGCTTAAAGCTCTGGCTTAGGCAAGATATTGTAGGTTCATGAAGTAATTTGTTTTCCCAACAGTGAAGTTTCACCAATTCTCTATCTACAATTCTTTTATGGTTGAGTCTTCTTAGAGGACATTGTTACTACCTCTGTGCAAATAGCCCAACGCTTGTAGCATTTTCAGTCTGAAAAATGTTTGAGCAGACCTAATAAAGTATATAAAATTGATTTGTGTTTAGAGGGGGGAAAAAAGGGAAACATTGCCTTCTTCTATTATAGTATTAGAACCCACGAAGAGCAAACAAAAATTATAGGAGGTTGAGGACAAACAAAAGGCAGTATTTTATGTATCGCATAAATCAAATTATGGAATTTTCCATAATTTTCTACTGCAATATATAACGTTGATTGCCAAACTGGATGTTTTTTTAAATCAAATTCATGGAAGAAAAGACTGTCAAACAGTATCCACCTGTGTACTGCCTTCCAGTAATGACGGCAGTGTACTTTTCCATGCTAATTGCTGAGAACCAGGCATGGAAAATGCTAATGTGGTTCATGTTCTGCTTAGGAGTAGAAGTCCCTGATTTGTCCCTCTCGGAACAGAATGCTGGAATGGATTGTTCTCTTGGCCTGATCCGGCCTGGTGCTTCTTGAGTTCTTTAAAATCCAAATTCTAATTCTGATCTTATGTTCTCCAGGCGAGATGCAAGAGCCTTCACCATTATATCACCACCACACTGGGACCTTACGTTGCTAATGTGACTACAGCAGCACACAGATGTAGTCGCCAGCTATGTCATGGGAATGGACGTTGTGTGAGATACTACCTGAATGAATTAGGAGCCTTTCTTCATCTGGATCATCATCTATGGGAAGGGGACCTTGGGATGACAGATTTTCAAGACCAAAATGTGTCAGCGCAGGATCATTTTCAGTGTCATTGCTATCCAAAGTGGGCTGGCACCCACTGTGAGAGACCACAGATGATCGAGCCTTTTAAGAAACCAAAACATAACCAAGCTCCACGGTATAACAATGTATATGATGCAGTGCATGATGGTGACTTTGAATTGGGGTCCAATATCTGTCCTACCTCTATTTATGGTAAAGAAACAGAAAGATAACCAGCACTTTATTGAGTAGGAATCTTGATAGGTTTTGTTCTAGGGCAAGGGTATGCAACCTTGGCTCTTTTATGACTCATGGACTTCAACTCCCAGAATTCCTGGCTCAGGAATTCTGGGAGTTGAAGTCCACGAGTCATAAAAGAGCCAAGTTTGCCTACCCCTGTTCTAGGGAGTGAATGTTTCCTGATAACTTGAAGAAAATGACAGAATTCCAGAATAATATTTAAATAATTACTTTCTTCCATCTCTTATTTTCTCTCCATTCTCCCTACTTGCATCTAATCTTATCATGAGCATGTTCTGGCAATAGCTGTATCCCCATGATAATGTCTTAATCTTGATCCAGTTCTTAAGGGAGACAGGTTTAAGTTGTTTGCTGTACTTGTATTAGAATAAATTTAGCAGGGAATGTAGCTTAATTCTACTTTTCTGACATTACTTGACATGACAGAGAGAGGATGGGGAAATGAATTGCATTCAGCCAGTTCATATTCTGTCTATTCCCTTAATAGATGACACAGAATTGATGGCTGGCTTGATCTCTGTATCACATCTGCTCTCTCATAATTATTTTTCTCTCTCTTTCACAAAAGCACACCTTACAGTTGTATGCAAACAAAGTAGGTTGAAAGCACATCATCTCAGCCCATTGTCGGGTTGGATTCTTTATTTTTCTCCCAAACTATTTATTGGATTCACTTAACAGAGCAAGACTAAAGAGTCCTTTTGGCTCATCTGTAGTCGGTAAGAAGGACATTCTATTTTGTCAGCAAAAATGATAATAATCAGTGGCTAGAAACTGATCCTTCGCACCTAATGTCATGATGGGTGATTGAACATAGGACTGCATGAATTTGATCAGCAGTTATTGATGGTATCATCTTAGGATTCTCTCTTGCACTTTGTGTTTGTGAGAAAGGAAGAATTAAGCCTAAATTAAATACAATTATTTAAAAGCTGAACCAGCTATACCAGCCCTATTGATATAAAAATCTTATTAATTTTTAAAGAAGAAACTAAGAACTGCAAGCACCAACAAGGCTACCTTAAACCAACAAAACAATGTAACAGTTGGAAAAAAGGCTCCCACAATTGAAAGGACACAGTCGCCTCTATTTTCATCTGACCTGAAATAACTGCACGCATTCTGTTTCCACACATGGTTTTACAACAAGAAATGAATCCCATGAAAGTCAAATCTCCAGAAAATCTCCAGGCCTCTAAAGTAGATGTAGAAATAAATTTGATTCATCAGTACATTAATGGATATTCTAATGGTTGGAAGGACACCATTGAATATGACCCATTGTGATCTTGGATCATAGTCTATGATCTTGGATCATAGTACTCTTGTAGTCATTGGTACTGTTTTTGTATGACTCTGGCCCCTATTGAAAGATTTAAATACTTTCTCTAAAACAATACATTCCTTTCTAAATGACTGCAAGCTGCAGCCTGGGATAAGAATGCATTTCTTTGTAAGATGCAATGTGAGACCTAATATCCTGAATTCACATGTTAGGTTAAGCCATAATTTATTACAATCAATTAAACAAGCCACAATTCACCGAGTTCACACATCACCTTAAACTAAGTTCCAATAAATTAAAGCAATACATGAACTTGACCAATTTGCCTTTGTCTTCAGCCCCAAGATAGTTAAAATATGATGTTAAAATTAATATACAAAAATGGAATAACTGGTATGCTTAAAATTGGATCTAACATAAATAAACTGATATTCAAATAATTATTTCTATGAGAAACATTTTATTTACGGTATTTTAAAACATTATTTAGCTGCACATTTTATACAGAACTCTGAATGACTCCCAAGCAAGAATTATAACAACATGAAAACCATATGCAAACTATTAAAACCGTAAGCACTGAAAACAAAAGCCTGGTTCCAAGTCAAATGTCCAACATGCAGTCATCTTATCCTATCTCAGTGCTTGGGGTAAAAGTCAAATCTTCAGTGCTTTGTAGAAGCCAGGAGGTCCGCAATCTGCTGAACTTTTAGGGTAAGAATGTTTTGTATAGGGCAGGGAAAAGCCAGGTTTTCTAGCTTCTTCCTATAAGGCGGCTATGTTTAAAGGAAGGCACTAGGAGTGGGCCTACCTATCTAATATGATTAGATGAGGAGATGTCTTTAGAGAAAGGGGGTTTCACAGATAACCTGGTGCTGTGCCGTGTGGGGCCTTAAAGGTAATAACCATCACCTGGAATTGCCCCAGAAGAAACTGGAAGCCAGTGCCACTCATGCAATAGAAGTGTTAAATGGGTAAGCTAGAGACACTCATAACTGCACATGCTGCTGCATTTTTTATCAGTTGTAGCTTCCGAGTGGTCTTGAAGGACAGCCCCAATTAGAGAATACTGCAATAATCCAAATGGGAAGTGACCAAGACATGAGTGACCGTGCGCAAGACTTCCTAGTCCAGGAAAGGGTGCAATTGGTGCACCAGATGAATCTTGTGCCCCTCCCCCCTGGCATAGCTACACCTGCTCAAGTAGAAGCCATGAATATAGGAGGACCCTGAAATTGTGCACCAAGTAGGTCTAAGGGGGTGCCTCCCCATCTACAGCCAAAAGATAAAATATCATTTGGGCCTGGGGAATGGGACAAAACCTAGAGCCATTCCATCTTGCCAGGGTTGAGTCAAAGCCAGCTTCTTGCCATCCAGATTACTCAACCAGCACTGCCACAGCATCACCTGTCTTGACAAGTGCAAGAGATATGTAATTAGGTACTACTACAGTCATGTCAAGAGCATTGAAGCACTTCTGGGCTTAAGCAAGCAACTAAATTTCATGTTTAATGTGTGTCAATGTGCCCACAATAAAAAATAACAATAAAGGTCTATCTATCTATCTATCTATCTATCTATCTATCTATCTATCTATCTATCTATCTATCTATCTATCTATCTATCTATCATCTATCTATCTATCTATCTATCTATCTATCTATCTATCTATCTATCTATCTATCTATCTATCTGATTGAACGGCAACATCCCCATTGCCTGGGGTGGGGGGAGCACCCAGTTGGGGTCTCCTTTCATGTCCCTGTTAAGTATAATTAGGTGCTATTCACATACTTATGATACTGGACCCCATACTGAGGGATGACCTCCCCCAGGGGTTTCACATATATTTTAAAAAGAAGAGGCACAAGGTTAAAGCCCTGGAGCACTCCACATTGTAGGGTCCTAGAGGTCAATCTCTCTTTTTGTATCAACCCAACTGGAACCAGTCACAGAAGTAGGAGGAGAACCACCATATCCCAGTGCCTCCCACTCCCAATCCCTGAAGCTGGTCTCAAAGGATACCAAGGTCAATTGTATCAAAATCCTCTGAGAGGCCCAGGAAGGCCAGAGTGGTTTCATCACCCCATCCCAAGCCTTCCAAATGTCATCAATAAGAACAATCAATGCTGTTTCAGTGCTGTATCTTGGCCCGAACCCAGACTGAAAAGGGTCCAGGTAATCAGCTTCATCCAGGGTTCTTTGTAGTTGTGCACCAACCACTTTCTCAACAATCTTCCCTAAAAAGGGAAGACTGGAGACTGGTTGAAATTTGTCTAATACTATTGAGTCCTAGGATAGCCTCTTGAGAAAGGGGACGCACTACTGCCTCCTTCAGGACAGGTGGTGCTTCCTTCTCCTGCAAAGGGCATTAATCATTGCTGGGATGAAACCACATGCCACCTCCTTGGAGGCCTGGGTCCAGAACGTAGGTGGCCGAGTGCACACTTCCTCAAGAAGTCCCCCAGAACCATACATCTGGGGAAATCCATTGCTAAATCCCAGACATAGAATCCAAGAATGTGGGCAGGGATGCTGCTACTTTGCAGAGAATAAGGTAAATGAATAGTAATCCTCACTGATCCCTCACACAAAAAAAATTCATACTCGATGTCTGAGGCAGGGCCACTAATGTCCACCCACCAGAGACTCATGGAAGACAAAGCTACACAACCACCCTTGGAGTTCCAGTTGGTGCCACACTCAAAATTCCAGTGGCATATTTCAAAAAGAGTACCCCCCCCCACTCCACACCCAACCTAGTATGAATGATACAGGCTAGGCCATAAAATGAAGATGTAATGGTATATGGGAGACAGGGGAAGAACCACAGTCAGGGGAAATGGCCAGATAAGAAGCAGTTTAGCATTCAGAAGGAGTGTGAGTGTGGCAAACATCTCAGAAGGGACCTTCCTTAATTGCTTGGGCTGTAAAGGCAATGGGGGAGAAATGTACTTTCAAATTTGAAAGATTCTATTAATACCTTGCAATAAAGTAGAATTAGGTCATCTGGGTATGCTTCCTGTTTTGCAAGACTGACACCATTGGGACTGAAAAAAGATAACACCGCAGAACTGCCTAGATCCCAGTATACGGCAACAGAGAAACTGGTGGGAAAATATATATATATTTTAAAAAAATAAGACTATGGAAGACCACAAGTTGAGACTAGTCTCCTACAAATGGTGTTCTCTCAGAGTCTAGAGGTGTGTGTGTTGTGTGTATGTGTGAGAAAAAGAGAGAACTGTAAGAGAGAGATCGGCTGGGGTAACTCAATATAACACAGTCGCCAAACTGATTCACTAGAACATCTGTAAAAATGATCATGGGCGAGTATTGAAAAATTGCTGGGAACACAGATTTGGGAACAGTCAAAAATGAGCAGGCTAAAATATTGTGGGAATTACCAGAAGCAAAATGAAAAAGTCTTGGCTCATAACACACCAGATTTAACTGAGGTTGAAAAGAATAAAGTATGAATAATTGATGTAGCAGTATCAGAGGATAGTAGAAGACAAAAAATTGGAGAAGATCACAAAGTATCAAGATCTGAAAATCAAAATTGAAAGATTGTGGCATAAACCGTCAGTGGTGGTCCCAGTGGCTATTGGCATGCCGGGTGCCATAGCAAAAAAATCTTGAATGGCATTTAGAAAATGTGCATTGACAAAATTTCCATCTGTCAGTTGTAAAAGTGTACAATCCTGGGATCTGCACATATACTATGCCAATATATTAAGGCATTCCTGGAAATAAGGATCTGTATTAAGGCCGACATAGGCTAAATACTGGCAGTTATGATTTCTAAATCATCATCATCATCATCATCACCATCATCATCATCATCACCATCATCATCATCATCATTATCTCCTTGAAAGTGGACATGGTGCTACCACAAGTGAAAAACCTAACAAAGAAAATACCCTGAAATTTTGGAAAAACAAAAGCTGAATTGAACTCACTGCTGAAAAGCACTCAGGAGTTTAGCAGAGACATCTAAATGCAATTTGGCATTGACAAATGTGCAACAATTGCTGTTAAGGCAGGAAAAAATTGTTGAAGATGATGGATTCGAAGTTGATAATGAAGAGTTGATAAAAGCAATAACCCCAGAAGATGGGCAAATTACTCAGGAGTTTTGGAAGCCTCTGACCTGTTGCACAACCAAGTCAAGGAAGCTACTTCAACAAAATACATAAAGCAAGTCCGGAAAATCTTGAGTTCAAAGCTAAGTGGAAGAAATATAAAGACAATTAACACTTGGGCAGTGCCTGTAATATGAAACTCAGCTGGAATAATTGACTGGATTCATGTCAAGAAAACTAATGACAATGCACCACGCTCTGCTCCCAAAAGTGATATTGATTGATGGTACTTGCCTAGATCTCGGGGTGGCAGAGGACTCTTACTGTGGAAGAGGAAAAACGCGGCTTAAATGACTACATAAAAAAGACAAAAGATCCTTTGTTGAAGGAATTGAACAAGGGAAACCTCTTGAAAACAATGAGATTGAAAGCAGAATATCAAAAGGAAACAATTGAGCATTGAGTTTCTAACTGAAAAAAAGAAGCCTATGCACAGTCAATACCTGAAAGACACTGAAGGATAGATAGATACAAAGAGCTAACATGGAGATGGTTGAGATCAGGGGTGCTGAAGAAAGAAACTGAAGGCTTCATTTTGACTGCCCAAGAACAAGCCCTGCAGGCCAATTCCATGAAAGCAAAAATTCAACATGTCAGTAACAACAGTAAATATTGCTTATACAATGAGACAGATGAAACAGTGGATCACCTTGTAAGTGGCTGCAGCAAAATCACACAGGCTGATTATCTACAACATCATGATCGAGTTGCCAAAATCATACATTGGAAGCTTTGCCAGAAGTTTGGATTCGAATGCAACAAACATTACTGGGAACACCAAATTGACAAAGTTCTTGAAAATGAGCAAGTCAAGATCCTATGGGATTTTCGGATCCAAGCAGACAGACATCTGGCCCACAACATGCCTGACCTCACTATTGTGGAAAGGAAAAAAGTCTGATTCATTGATACGGCAATACCAGGTGATGCATGAATTGAAGAGAAACAGTTAGAAAAAATTAAAAAATATCGTGATTTGAAAATTAAAGGAAGAAATAAATGGTTGTACCAATAGTACTAGGAGCCCTTGAAGCAATACCCAAAGGGCTGCCTAGATACATGAAATTTTGAACTTATTAGACCTGAACATCCTGACTTTGCAAAAAAAAAACCCACCCTACTAGGAACTGCCTATATATTCAGACGCTATCTTAACATAGGGGTCCCCAACCCCTGGTCTGTGGACCGGTACCGAGCTGCGGCATGCCAGCAACCAGTCCACACAAAGAAGCAAAGCCCCATCCGTGGGATGCAGGCAGCACACAAAACCACGTACTCTCCGATCCGTGGAAAAACCCTTCTCCACAGAACCAGTCCCTGGTGCCCAAAAGGTTGGGGACCTCTGCCTTAACAGCTCTTAGGTCCTTGGTTAGGACTTGAACTGTTAAGTTTTTACCAGTCCCAGACTGTGAATAGAATTTAAAATTAACAACAACAATAATAATAATTCTTGTTTTAAGGTGTGCAGTGCAGAGTTCCAGAGACTTAGGAAATGCTGCTGTTGCTTACTTCTGAAGAATTTTTGCTCAGAAGGTATCAGGGAAGGAAGCTGCAACTTTCTCATTACTCTAACATAAGAGTTGCCATGTTTTCTCCTTTTCCCTTTCCATCCAGCGTTTTCTGTCCCTGGGGAATTTTCTCTCACATCCACAATTTTATTTTTCTTCCTCTTCTTTTCTCCTTCTCCTTTCTATCTGATTTCCAATATTTGCTGTAGCCTTATATAGTTCATGGTCTCTCCACCCAGCGTCTCTTTTCTGGCTCTGTCAATAGCTCCTCCTTGAGTTCTCTTATTCCTATTTTAAGCCCAAGCAGCTGACCTGACAGACAGAAGCCTATGTTTACTTCCCTATCTATTCCCAGAGGACCTGATAGGCCCCGCACTGCGGTTTCTGAAAACTTGCCCCCACTTTGAGCTACCTCCAGGACAGCCATAGAAAAAGAAGTTGGTCTACTCTATAGGATGTCCAGTGAAATTGGAGAAGGTATGGTCTGTGTGCGGTCTCTTTTGTAGAGCACATATATTTATCATGCCAAAGGGATGGCCTTTCCAGTTGGTGTGTGAAGCTATATAGCTTCAAGAGAAAGGCTCACTCACCTGTTGTCCTAGGAAGGGTGAAAAAAATGTTCAGGGGAGTAGCTTTTAATATTTTCCTCAGTCAAAATATAATGGTCAAACATCTTGTGTTGATTGTTAGTGGCACAGAAACCTATGTATGCAGATAAATATGTGAAGGAGAGAGACCTTGGGCTAATTTATAGAATTTTGTTCAGATGAATGTGTAGATTTACTGTGCAAATAGATAGTTATTATATTGCCTGGGCAGTTATTTCTTAAATATTTGTTTAAAGTTCCTGCAACTTGGTTATAGATAATGCATTATTATAAATTTCTATGGAATAGCGGTGGGTGACTGAGAATCCTGATTTCCTTTTTTGTTATGTTGATATGTGTTATGTTTTGTGCTACGGTATGTTACGTTATGTTACATTATGTTGCTCTGTTTTATTATAGATCCTGCGTTATTGCAAATTTCTATAGAACAGTGGTAGGCAACTGAAAATCCTGATTCCTTTCTTTGTGGCTCCCCAGAGATCCTTTCAGTTGTCATTGCCAACAGTCATTGCTAGCATTCTCCCCTTCTGAAATAGAAGGTACACAGATATTTGTGTAAGTCCTAAAAAAAAAAAAAGCTTAGTGTGGTTTTTTTTTAAAAAACAACTCTTTCCCTCAAAAAAGCGGGACAATCATGAGAAAGTCTCAGGCTAACGCTTCTTACATTATTTCCCCTTCCCATTAGTGTTTCTGCCTACCATGCAAAAAGTTACAAGGTGAAATGATGCTGGCCTCTATCATGGCCTCTACCGTTATTTTTAGTTGTGGGACCATTTCCAGACCCAGGGCTACATGCAGCCTCCCCCTCATCTATCTAGGATAATTGAAAATGACAGAATTTCTCATGATTCTGATACCCTGTGCCCTAAATAGACATGTCACCATTGAAATAAATACATAAATAAATCACATAAAAATTCACAGGCTACCTGTGATTCTGCCCACTTTTTGTGCCACTATTTAATTCAATTTGTGCCTCAAGTGAATATTTTTTTATTATTCATAAGAACATAAAATATGTTGTGCTGGATTAGACTGAAGTCCTCCCTAGTCTAGCATTCTCTTTTCCTACAGGAGCTACCTAAATGCCAGAAGGAATCCAACAATCCAATCCAATATATATTCTTAAACATTGCCAGCACATTTATGTCATGGTTCCAACAGATGAAAGTCTTCAAAGAACTTCGAGGCAATGTTAGCATTGGATGTTCTTGCTTTGACAATTTATATCATAAGCAAAACAACTGTTAAAAAATATGATGAACTTACTCAACAGTCTTGTTTCTTGTTGCCAAATGTCATATATCAGCATTCCACTGCTGCAAACCAAGTAACATTATTTCATCAATCTTTATGATAATTTTTGGTTCTCTTCTCTTTTCAAACATCTAAGAAAATTAATACAACCTTTTGACCCGCTTCAGTTTGCCTATCGACCAAATCCCTCTACGGAGGATGCTATTTCTTCCGTTCTCCATCTAAGCCTGAAGCACTTAGAGGAAGTGTGCGTTTGCTGTTTGTCGACTTCAGTTCGGCGTTTAACACAATCATTCCCCAGCATCTAGTAGACAAACTGGGCCTTTTAGGCTTAAACACTCCTTTGTGCAACTGGATTCTTGATTTTCTTACCAACAGGCCCCAATATGTGCGAGTTGGAACAAATACCTCTAATACCCTTTTCTTGAGCACAGGTTCTCCTCAGGGCTGTGTCTTAAGTCCGCTGCTGTTCACCCTGTTGACCCAAGACTGTTGTGCTAGGTTTGCCATCAACCATATTGTGAAGTTTGCAGATGATACAACAGTAGTGGGCCTTATTCAGGATGACAAGGTGGAAGCTTACCACAAGGAGGTTGAAGGGTTGGTGAACTGGTGTAAGGAAAACAGCCTAATTTTAAATACCAGAAAAACCAAAGAGATCATTGTTGATTTCAGAAAAGGCAGGCACAGCCACACTTCTCTGTGCATAAATGATTCACCTGTAGAGATGGTTACCAGCATCAAATTCCTGGGTGTGCAGTCAGCAAGTAGGCTGACTTGGTCGCTCAACAGTGAGAAACTGGTGAAGCGGGCACAGCAGCACCTGCATTTTCTGCACCGCATGAGAAAAGCACATCTTCCTCCCCTGTCCTGACCACTTTCTACAGGGGGACAATCGAGAGCATCCTGTCATACAGCATCACAGTCTGGTTTGGAGGCATCACTGCTTCAGGCAGGAAGGCGGTGCAGAGAGTGGTGAGAATGGCCGAAAAGATCATTGGCAGTTCCCTCCCTCCCATCCAGGACATAGCACAGAAGCGCTGCTTGAGCAGGGTCCGTAAGATTGTCTGGGACACTACACACCCTCTCCACAACCTGTTTTCCTTGTTACCTTCTTGGAGGAGGCTTCGTGGTATCCGAAGCAGAACATCCAGATTCAGCCAGAGTTTCATTCCATACAGCATTAACCTTGCGAACTCTCAAGCTTCCTCCTTCCGTTATATATTCAAGATGGACAATATTTAATATTTATTTGCTACGTATATGTAGGGATGTGGGTCTGTACATATGTTGTTCATAGTATGTTTAGGTGTGTGTCATGTATGTTTCACTTTGAGAGCGGGCAACTAAATTTCATTTTTGATGTGTGCCATTGTGCCCACAGTGTAAAAATGACAATAAAGACTTATCTTATCTTATCTTATCTTATATCTTATCTTATATCTTATCTTATCTTATCTTATCTTATGACTGGTACTCATTTATAGCCTTATCTGACATTAGCCTTATGTGAGACTAATCCTTATTTAAAGGCATACAAGTTGATGAAAATGACCACAAGCTGATGAAGTTAATTTCATAGTTGGATTGTGTGCTACAGAAAGAAGCATTTTCTCAATAAATTCAAGCTTTATGAAATGTTCCACTTCACAAAACTGTAACAGTTCTACAATTGTTGTTTTTCTCTGATAATTTTGTATGTTTTTAAGACATTTTGTTATTATAGTGAGAGCATTTCCTGCTCTCTTTTAAATTGTTCTTCATGATTACCTGATTGCTTAGCACTTATTGTATGTAGTTTGTCCCTTTTGGCTGCATATACTGGGCAAACATTCCTTACTGTCATTGTTCTAATCTAAGGTAATACAGTCCTGTAATTCTTTTTCACCATTTAAGAATTTTTAAAATGGTTAAAACTCATTTTCTGTTCCCCTTTGCAAATTCCANAGGTTCTCCTCAGGGCTGTGTCTTAAGTCCGCTGCTGTTCACCCTGTTGACCCATGACTGTTGTGCTAGGTTTGCCACCAACCATATTGTGAAGTTTGCAGATGATACAACAGTAGTGGGCCTTATTCAGGATGACAAGGTGGAAGCTTACCGCAAGGAGGTTGAAGGGTTGGTGAACTGGTGTAAGGAAAACAGCCTAATTTTAAATACCGGAAAAACCAAAGAGATCATTGTTGATTTCAGAAAAGGCAGGCACAGCCACACTTCTCTGTGCATAAATGATTCACCTGTAGAGATGGTTACCAGCATCAAATTCCTGGGTGTGCAGCTAACAAGTAGGCTGACTTGGTCGCTCAACAGTGAGAAACTGGTGAAGCGGGCACAGCAGCACCTGCATTTTTTGCGCCGCATGAGAAAAGCACATCTTCCTCCCCTGTCCTGACCACTTTCTACAGGGGGACAATCGAAAGCATCCTGTCATACAGCATCACAGTCTGGTTTGGAGGCATCACTGCTTCAGACAGGAAGGCGGTGCAGAGAGTGGTGAGAGGCCGAAAAGATCATTGGCAGTTCCCTCCCTCCCATCCAGGACATAGCACAGAAGCGCTGCTTGAGCAGGGTCCGTAAGATTGTCTGGGACACTACACACCCTCTTCATGACCTGTTTTCCTTGTTACCTTCTGGGAGGAGGCTTCGTGGTATCCATAGCAGAACATCTAGATTCAGCCATAGTTTCATTCCATACAGCATTAACCTTGCGAACTCTCAAGCTTCCTCCTTCCGTTATATATTCAAGATGGACAATATTTAATATTTATTTGCTATGTATATGTAGGGATGTGGGTCTATACATATGTTGTTCATAGTATGTTTAGGTGTGTCATGTACGTGTTTCACTTTGAGAGCGGGCAACTAAATTTCATTTTTGATGTGTGCCATTGTGCCCACAGTATAAAAATGACAATAAAGACTATCTTATCTTATCTTATCTTATCTTATCTTATCTTATCTTATCTTATCTTATGACTGGTACTCATTTATAGCCTTATCTGACATTAGCCTTATGTGAGACTAATCCTTGTTTAAAGGCATACAAGTTGATGAAAATGACCACAAGCTGATGAAGTGAATTTCATAGTTGGATTGTGTGCTATAGAAAGAAGCATTTTCTCAATAAATTCAAGCTTTATGAACTGTTCCACTTCACAAAACTGTAACAGTTCTACAATTGTTGTTTTTCTCTGATAATTTTGTGTGTTTTTAAGACATTTTGTTATTATAGTGAGAGCATTTCCTGCTCTCGTTTAAATTGTTCTTCATGATTACCTGATTGCTTAGCACTTATTGTATGTAGTTTGTCCCTTTTGGCTGCATATACTGGGCAAACATTCCTTACTGTCATTGTTCTAATCTAAGGTAATACAGTCCTGTAATTCTTTTTCACCATTTAAGAATTTTTAAAATGGTTAAAACTCATTTTCTGTTCCCCTTTGCAAATTCCAACTTAAGCTACTCATACCTTGCCAAGTTAACTTTGTGCAGAGCTGTGATAATATTCAAGGGGTGCTTTCACAAAAGATGTTTCTTTGTGACACAGCAGCAGAAAGCATCATGTTTCCAGCCATCCTTTAGGCCCAAGAGATAGGAAGGGACCCTCACCTTCTAAGTTGTTCTTTAAGGTACAGTTATGCTGTCAGTATGTCCACTATGCCCTTGAAAAACATGACTCCAAATTAGGAACCAAGATCTAGCTGCCAGGAAACTGTCCCGCCCAGGGATCAGTTGCCAGCTTGGCAGCAATTTGTTCTATTAACTGTCTCCCTGGTAGAGGTTCAGCAGGCAGAGCTTTCATTCAGACACCCCCACACCACCTCCTGAAATTTATTGTTGTGACAACAATCACAACTTGATGTGTCGAAGTGCAAGGGTTGTGCTAAGGAGAGAAAAACAGAAGTTCAGCTGAAGTATCCAGTTGCATCTCTGTCAACAGTTTTGCAGTCTGACAGCCTTTCCCCAAATTACTCCATGGAGGAAACGGGGGGACACTGTCATCACTGGCTGTCACAGTCAACAATAATGTGGTAATGAAAAGACGGAGGATTTAAGTCACTGTCTGGCTGGCTGGCTGCCTTCAGAGCTAAATCCACTGCAGTCTTCACCCTGCCCTATTGCACAGAGAATTTGTTCTAATAAAATTGTATTCATTTTTTGCGTGTACCAAGAGGCTCCATAATGTAACATGAGGGGCAAATACTATTCTGATGATTCTGATAACAGGAACCAGATTGTTGCTCTTTTCCTGGTGTGAAAGGAGACCCTACAGTACATGGGGTACAGTACAGTAAAGGATATGGATTACGATAGGGGTTAGCATCAATAGAAGGGGCTAGGACTGAAGTGCTTGTAAGAATGCAGAATTTAGGGCCATTGGCCAATAAGGTCATTCCACACAGAGGCACACAGTTTCAGTTTAAATAAAAATGTATTACTGCATTTGCTTTATGATGTTGCATGTTGGCTGGCATATGCTGGCAGTTGACTCAGTAATACTCTATTCCAGGAAAGTTTATTTCTTTTTATCTAAAGGTGAAATAATTTTAGAAACATTAGCAATAATTGAATAAACAGATGAATCTGGTGGTTTTTCCATCTCTCACTTGGTTAGAAGCTTGCAGGAAGCAAGTAGGAAAATAAAAAAGGATAAGGGCAACAACCTTTTTGGGACCCAGGATAGAAAAAAATCCGTCAGACCTCAGAGCACAAGGAGACTGAATTTGCAGCCAGTTCTGGAAGTCTGATTGCCAAATGCCTCCTTTCCTTTTTCTGGGCAGATACCCTGGTGAAGGAGTCTGCTTCTTCTGACAGGGAGCTCATTGAACACAGTGAGATGGAAGACATCAACTTGCACACAGTGGAATCTATTAGTGATCTGCACTATGCCTCTATCAGAAGTGAAGACACCAAGGCTTCTGAAGGTAACTAAGGACATGCATGAATGCTTTCAAGAAGATTTGATGTTATTCTTTGCCCTTCGTTGTTTGAACTGTTTCTGGCAAGCTTGTTTTGACTGAAGCAGATGGTCCAGGAGCCCTGGGATAGTCCCAGGACCAAAAATCTATTACGGCTTCTTCCATTTCTGTTCATTTTTCTTTCCCCTTCTTCTGCAGGAAACAGCCTGTCACAGGCCACTACTCCAGGACCTCCGCATACGGCTTCCTTCAAGCATTTCTCTTTCCCAAATGAAGATAACTCAGCCTTTTCCCCAGCCCAGAATTTCCACCTTCTCCCCGCTTTAACCTGCTGTCCTTGCTTCAGACCTGCTTGTTGCCCCACTGCCTTCTTTGCTCTCCTCGGAGTGCTTGTTGTGACCAGTCTTGGCTTAGCAACACTGGCTGTGTATCTGAGTGGTAAGTTTGGAGTTTCGTGGGCTACAACATATCTAAGGAGACAATGAAAAGTTCAAGATAGTACCTAATTTGTATTCGCCATTAGGGAAGAAAGCATTTTCATTGAGCATTCCCTCTTTGAAGTTTGACTAAGCCTAAGTTTTGATGGGAATTCATTATATGCCACAAAGGTTCTTCTGGATAAGTTAGAGAAAAACATAGGTTTTTAAATGCCCACTACTTCTAATCACTTTGCTTCTCGTTTCTCTTTTTTTCAAAATGTAGCTGCTGCCATAACATTTATTCTTTCATATTCAATACATGAAAGCTGCATTTTAGCTTACATTGTTGTGAAATGATTTGATATCTAGATAGTTATACTTTGGCTTGCCCGTTACATAAAACACATGAAATACTCTTCTCCCATTGTAAACACAAAATGGAGGCTCCTGCTGAAGTTTAGCCAGGTGCCTTCTTTGCAAATATAATATGGTTGCAAGCTTTTCTAAGCCCCCGTCTGCCACCAGGAAAGAAAGAAATTAAAACAACATCAAACACCAGAAGTTCTGGGCCTATTAGCAGGGTCAGCCCTCAGGATTACACCAATTTAGGAAGGCTTCAGAATGCCATCTTAAATAAGAATATATCTGTATAACACTTAAAGCAGTTTACCAGCTTGCTTTTAATAATAATTGTTGTCTAAACTGCAAAACCAGGTTCACACGACACAATAAACCCTAAGGTGATTTGTTTAGATTGTGTGGTGCTCCCTGGTGGGGTCCTTTTTGGTTTTTTTGGAATGAAAGTATCATCCCAGGGACCAATTAGTTTTACTACTACCACCAAACCCTTTTCTGATTTGGAATTTTTTCCAAATTTTTCTCGTCTTTTTCTCTAGATGTGAGGTTACACAATTTGTGGGATGTGGGGAAGGTACAGAACAGCAGTCACTTTTTAAAATAACAATTGAACAAAGAATTAAATTAACTTTTATTATTTAATTTTAAAAGAATTGTAAACAGGTCCCTTAAAATTACAATTCAGGTTTAATTCTTCAGAGTATTCTAGCTCTCACAGCAAGATTACAAAATAAATATACACTTCTAATCCTTTCCTTGCAATAAATATCCATTCCTAACCCTGTTGCTTTGACAGAGGATTTCCCTGTGATCAGAATCCGAGCATCCCTCAGACCTGTCCTTCTACCTACGCTTCTCAAATCTTCCTTTGCTCTCCCTGAATTTAACTGGGGAGGGAGCGTTACTATTTTTTTTTTTTTGCATGAGTTCTAATAACCAGTCACAAGTTTACCTTAGCATGTTAATATAGCCAATGTAGTGTTCAAACCATAGTTCAAAGCTTGGTGGTTGCCAATCCAACCTCTTGGGGTTTTATTTCAGAAACCCTTCAGCAAAGTGAGCACTGTACTTAAGTCAAAATGTGAACCATGAAAACAAGGGGAACATTTCTTCCCAGAACATTAAATAGCTTAATGTTGAATAAATCAGCTTCCCTGAGCTTGGGATGATCCCAATCCCTCTCAACACTAGCCAAGCAGACATTGGAATCACTGGCTGGCTGCTCTATAGTCACCACAGCCCTCTCAGTAAGTCCAAATTCTTCTTCAGTCTCCCATCCTCCAAGTGCGCATATCTTGCTGACATGGGAAGGGGCATTTCGTTTCATACACCTAGTTGGGTCTACATCACCTTCCTCTCCAAAATGTAAGGTGGGTTTGGATTTCAGCTTGTTATCTCTGCTGACTGGGTTTACCAGCTCAGAGAGATGGGAGTTGTAATCCAAAATTTGCAAATGGGATAGGGATCTAAACGTCTATTGAGAAGTTTGGATATATCAGGGTGACCTGCGTTCATATTAAAATGGCGCAGAAAGGGAAGCTCTATAAACATCCTATATTAAGTCATGTGGTTTCTCTTTCTTTTTACAGTCTTACAGCGGGAGTCGCTCCGTAATCTTGCCCAGTGGCTGGAGTCCCAAGAGGAGACCATCCGGCAAATGAGAGCTGTGAGCTTACAGCTTTGGAGACAGCTAAATGCCAGTGAGGTTGAGGTCCAGACCTGACCTGAGCCAGAGAATCCCATCCTCTCTTTTGGAGAGGCTCAGCTCCAGAGCTGTGGAAGAGTGGAAGCCAACTCATTGCTTCGCCAGTTCTAAGTGGAGCACAATGGCTTGGTTGCTCTGATCTCTAAACCCAAAAGGAGTCCTAGAGAAGCACTGAAGGGTCTTCCAGCTGTTGCAATCTGTAGGACAAACACAGATTGTCCAGGGAGGAAACTGTGAGGCAGATGCCTGACCAAGAATCCTATTAAGCAGGCTTCCAGCAGCATCACACATGCTTTGTTTCCCATTGATTGTAGTATTTTAAGAGCTACTATGAGCACCTTTTTCAAAATGCACTGCTCAATTTGATATGCATTTTTTAAAAAAAACGTTGCACATGGGAGTGTGTTTCAAGAATTATAATAAAAATACCCTAAGCTTCTTTGATCTTCAGGTTTTGCTGAAAAGGAGGCTCTATCTATAGAAAAGACATCATCAGTATGTAAAGAACAAGATTTGCGGCATAGAATCCAGTTATTATCCTGGGTTAATAAAAGAAAAAGAGCATTTGCTATCAGTCTTGAAAACTTTCTTCAGAAAATTTCCTATTCTTTAAGTGTAATAGAAATTAGACACGCAAGCAAAGCTATTTCCTAATTTATGCCTGGTTCTCCACAAAAACTGATGGATAGGGATAATCCTGTAGTCCAAACCAGGAATATGAATGTGTAGATTATAAATTTCCTGCTACCAGACTTAAAACCACTTGTTTTTTTAATAGGAGAATGCCCAATAGAAAAATGCCTGTGGTCACCCTTTCCTTAAAGAATGCTAACTTTTCTTTGGAAGCAGAGAAGATAGTGAGAGGCAAGCTATTCATTTTCTGAAATTAGTCTAGGCTGTCCTTGAAACTGAAAGAAGGGATGACAATGCAAAAATCACACCCCTCCACTGCCTACCTTCAGCAATGTTGGCCAGAGTTTAATGTGGATTCCAGGACAGTGATTGGAAGATTCCTTTTTTCCCTCCCCCAATTGCTCTCCTGAGCATGCCAACAGACAATGTAATTGGATACTAGATGTGGGAGGACCAGAGAAGTTGATGGAGTAACTACATATCTTAAGAGCATTTTTTTCTGCGCAAATACCATTCCTTCAAAGTCCTTCTGCTGTGCTCCTGAAGGATGAAAGCACGCAGGGAACAGTAACATTGACCAGGCTGGCTAGCGATGAAATGTGGATGGAATTCTTTCACCAGCAAAACTGCAACCACTCTGTGGATAGGGCTGACCTCTTTCACAATCTCTTTTCTTCACACTGTCACACACCTACCCAAGCTGCCAGTAGTGGCATTAATGAGGATCCCAATTGCTGCGGGCTTCCATCTGATGGCTGCTGGTGGGGATGGCTTCTCAGCCAAACTCTCTGTGGCTACAGCACCCATGGTATTATAGTTGTGCTTTTTTCAACCTGTACCTCTTAAGAGAGGATGTAAAGGTGCAAAGAGCTGGAAGTGGCAGTGGAGGCAAACCCTGGCCTCCCTGATTTGTAGTCTTGTGCCATGGATGAGGGACAAAGGGCTCATCAGAGATGCTGCTTGTTGCTCTCACAGACAGTACCATACTGTAATAGGTAGAGCCTCTACGGCATACCTTTGTCTTCTGCTGCAGGACCCAAAAGAGAGATAAGCCTTCCAGGCATTCTTCCCCACTGGGCAGATGGTTGTGCTTTCTGCTTGTCATAAATGTTCCCATTGGTAAGCAGTTTTTTTTTTTTGGCTTTGTTCAATATTCTTCTGCTCAAATGAAGAAAAAAAAATCACAAAAGAGATACCCAGTCTCTCAACAGTCAGATTAGAAAAGGTCACAGAGACACAAGGCCCAGCAATTATACAAGCAGTCTTGCAATGGGTCAGTCAGTGACCATTGGATCTCCAACTTGTTGACTCTTCTCCCATGTGACCTAGAATGTCTCCAAGGCAGATTTCCAACCTTTGTTGACTCTTCTCCCATGTGACCTAGAATGGCTCCATGGCAGATCTCCTTGGAAAATACCCTTTCTTTGGGAACACCTTGGACTGACTTCAACCTGCTTCAATGGTAGTCTGGCAAGAAGATGGAGACTCCACAGTGGAGTCATGTTCTCAGCAAATGGCAATTTAGGTGACTTCAAGTTAGGATAACATTCAAAATGCATTGTGGTATAAGAATATGCAGACAAGTGGTTAGAATGAGTGAGCAAATGCAAAGCCAGCAAGGAGCTGCATTTGAAAGAGGATACTCTCTACTCTTGTTGAATATGAACCTCCAGCTATAAAAGCCATTGTGGATGAGGTCCAGTTAAGGAGAGCACTTGCTAACACTTGGATGACTTTGGCAGAACTTGAAAGGCTACATCTTGGTAGTTTGGATGGGATGCCATCAGGAAATCCCAGGGCTGTACATGGGACAGGGAAAAAGCAAGTCACAGAAAGCTATAATAAAGCACTTGCATGTTGCTGGAAAAATTCCATGGGGATAACTATGAAATCATCAAGAGCTGGCCTTGGCTCAGGAGAGGCTTTGCTTTAATTTTTTTTTCTTTTGAGCCTATCCAGGACTAAAGTGTTATTTTTGCTTCAAAATCAATCTCTCTCTCTCTCTCAGCCCAACCCACCTCACAGGGTCGTTGCTGTGGGGAAAATCAGAAGAAGGAGTATTAGGTATGTTTGCCACCTTGAGTTACTTATAAAGTAATAAGGGAGGAAAAATATCTAATACATAAATAAAATAAAAGTTGATATTTATCAAGGATACATTTAGAATAAACAGGCATTTTTCTGACAGCCATCTTCCTGAAAAATACAATTTATTCCTATAGCTAATTGCTCCTCATAGTCTCAAGTCCAGCAGATCAACACAGATTTCTCTTCTGAGAAAAACAGGCAAGGGAGGCAGTATTTTAGACAAAAATCCAAATAGATTTTCCGAAAAAGCTTATTAACTTTGTTTTCTTAAATAAGCGCTATGTTTGTGTTCCTTTCAATGAGGTTTTCTGAGAAGCAGGGAGGTTTAGCACACTGTATATATGTGCATGCTCTGTGCAAACTCAGTGCTTCCTAAAAAGATATGTTTGTCTCTACTAATTCAAATTGTGCAGTGCTTCTAAAAAAAAAGATACATCTTAGTGCGACTCTACTAAGTCAGCTTTGCCTTAGACACAATGATTTCAACCGGGATAGGCTACCAAACTGGAAATGATCTAGGATAAAGAACTGGGTGCCTGGGGATTTAAAGTGTGCCTCAGACATCCCCTTCAGCACTCATAAAATTTCCTGTTCCATTTTATGTCATTTAAATGCATATTTTAAAAATTAAATAGAAAGTGGGATGCCGTTGAACAAAGTTCTAGCACCATGTTTATTTATAGGAAAACTTGTGAACTACACAATGATCCACTGGGGTGTCAGAGAAAACATTTTGGGGAGGACAGAAGGTTCACTTTTGAGGAAATAAGTTTGGGAGACCGATCATGTTAACCAATGCAGCCATTTTGTAAACAGACTAATGTCCTAGGGTTCAGATGTCAAACTCACCGCGTCACGTGACGTGTTGCGATGTATCAATACTTTTTTTGTATTGCCAGAGCTGGGGTGGATGCAGCCTCCATATGATGCAACCGACCAGTGGGCTGGCAATTTGACACCCCTGTCCTAGGGTCACCATTTTTTTTAGTATGCACTTCAGACACTCAAAATTACAAATGTACCCCTGACTCAAAAAGGTTGCCTAGCCTCATATTTGAACATTGTGTTCAATGGCAAAAATCAAAGTGACAAGTTAGCTCAGGGGAAGTCAAACCTTGGCTCTTTTATGACTCGTGGACTTCAACTCCCAGAATTCCTGAGCCAGCCATGCTGGCTCAGGAATTCTGGGAGTTGAAGTCCACGAGTCATAAAAGAGCCAAGGTTGACTACCCCTGAGTTAGCCAAAAATGAAATAGTCACAAGGTGAAGCACCACTGCCACAGCATTATGGATTGTTTCCCACTCCCACTCCAAAATGAATAATAAAGACAAAGCTAAATCAATTGTGGTGTCAAAGGCCTGCTGCTTTTTTTTTTTTTAACCACAAACCAGAGAACTTCCTCACAACAGGGTCGATTCGCCTTGTGTGGAGAAAAGAGGAATGCTCAGGCCTACCAAAAAACCCAAACACAAGGAAAGGACTCTTTTCAGCCTGAGGCCCAGCTTTTTTTGACTTCTCCTTTTGTCATCGAAATAGAGCAGTTTCCCATTAAGAATAAATAAATAAGTGAGGAACAAAGCTGACTCCCAAAGAGCAGGAAGAAAATGACAAGGGGTGATAAATAGGATATAATAATTTGGCCAACAATGTTAACCAACTGTGTCAATAGAGAAGAGGTATAACTTCTTCATGTGCTATCAAGCCTAACTTTTAATCATCTACACTGATCTCTAAAGTACATTTCATCCTCCTCACAGCAAAAATACCTTCAACACCAGAGGGGAAAATCCCAAGGCACCCAACCTCAAACCAATCCTTCTGCAGCCTCCATTTTGGAGGCTGCTGTTGATAACCTTATCATAAAACCACCTTCTGCACCAAAGTCCTCACTGGGAAAATTCACAACTGCAGGAGGCAAAGGGAGAAGATTCAGTCTTTGATTAATACATTCAGTAATGGAGATAGGGGGAAAAGGGGTTAAAAAATTACTGGCTTAAAAAAAGCAGCAGGGGTGAGAGAAGAATCTCCCTACCACCTAACCTCGCTTAAATTTTTGGTTAAAAAAATAAAAATGGCGCCTGCCCATTGTCATCCCACCATAATTCAAACATCCAAGACATTTAAATATTATTCTGTACATATATAAAAGCCCCCGAAGAAAGTGGGGGGGTTGTTGTTGCTGAGGGGGACAGGGCCCAAGCCCAATTTTTCAATGGGTCGAGGCCACGTGGGGGCTTCTGCCTCAGGATCTCTCCACACTTGCAAGGTTCACAGTGGTCCAGGTCTGTCGTAGTTCATTGGCTTCTATGGAAGGCAGGAAGAGGAGAAGGAAACAGGCCCTCAGAGGACGTCAGCTCGCTTATCTCGAACACGGCTCCTTGCTTTCGTTCGGGCTTTGAAGGCAGCAGAGTTATACAGGTGCTGGGGCAGCCAGAGGGAGAAGAGACATAGGTCACAACTAGCTCAGAAAACAACACTTAGAGGTCGCAAATCATGGTCTAAGTCTACCAGGCCCAAAATAATTTCTGTTGCTGTAGTGACACTGAACCCTTTACATCAGGGGTAGTCAACCTTGGCTCTTTTATGACTCGTGGACTTCAACTCCCAGAATTCCTGAGCCAGCATAGCTGGCTCAGGAATTCTGGGAGTTGAAGTCCACGAGTCATAAAAAAGCCAAGGTTGACTACCCCTGCTTTACATCTTGCAGGATATCCCCCATTATTAACATAATTCTGAACCAGAGAAAGAACAGGAAGTTCTGTAATAGTAAGGACAGAGTAACCCTGAGAGAGCAGCACAAAAACATTTAGATCAAACAATTTCATTTATTTCTTC